CTGCATGGCCTTCTGAATATACTGAAAACATTGAATTATATGCTTTAAGTACACAGATTATACAGTGTATGAATTGTCTCAATAAAACTGTTTTAAAATGATAGGAATAATGCTAAATATATTAGTTGTAATGATAAATATAAATAAAGCTTTCTTATTTTAAAAAACAAAAATCTTGAATTATGTCAGTGAGAATGGTGTTGTAGTGAACCACACAAATTTGTAGCTCCACAAAAACAGTGAATTAACTGGTAAAAACAGTAAGAGTCAACTTTTTTGGAACTCTGGAAAGTAGTCAAAAGACTACTGCACTCAGGAACATCCTTAGTCAAGAAAAAATCAACTGAATCTCAGTAAGAAAGTTTGTAGCATCTCAGCTTGTCCTGGTCCCCAGCTCGGAAGCAACTTTAAATACTGCATTCCTGATACAGGTACCTAGTTTTCGAGGCAACAGGACAGACCTTATTCTCAAAGAATTGTAGCTGTTTTGGCCTGTCTGGTGGCTTCCTGGAGAACTGGTCCTGTTGGTTTGTCTTCTTTTTACTTGACTCAGAATTCTCTTAGGGCTGAGGAGGACACATGGGGAATTTCTGGAAAAAACTTAAAGGCAAATGTATTACTCATTGTCACCCAAGGAAAGGGAAAACAGTTTCAACAAAACAATAGGCTTACCAAAAAGCTTAGGGAGGAAGACTGGAGATAGAGATCTCTGAGAAATAAGGACTTTTAAAGGTTCTGCATACCCTGAGAAATCTAGAAGGCCACATGTATACTCAGGCATGTGATGGGCACTATGTTATAAAGCTGTAGTTTGCAATAGTAACAAAAGGGATGGCAGAGCTCTATGGGAACAGTGTGTTTTTTCTTTTGATATACTACTGAAACTAAGTTAGTATTTGTTCTAACTAGATTGTTAAATTAGGATGTTTGTTATAATCCCCAGGACAATTGGTAAGAAAATAACTAAAATTATATATACTAGAAGAAGTGGGAAGTGAATAAAAATGGTACACTAGAAATATCTGTTTCACACAAAAGAAAGCAGTAATGGAGAACAAAAGAAGTGACATAGAAAACAACAGCAAAATGACAGAAAGAAATCATTCCTTATTAGTAATTACATTAAAGGTAACTGTATTAAACTCTTCAGTAAAAGGCGCATATTTGCAGAATGAATTTTAAAATATATAATCTATCTTTATGGTGTCTGTCTGAGACTTACTTCAGATACAAAGACCTAAAATATTTAATGTGAAAGGATGGAAACATATTTCATGCAAAGAGTACCCCACAAAAAGTAATCTAGGTAGAATGACTATGTTAATATCACACAACATAGACTTGGATAAAAATTGTTACAGTAGATAAATAAAAACTTTTTTATGATAAAAGAGTGACTACATCAAGAAGGTGTAACAATTATGAACATACACAACCCTAACAGGGATCCTAAAATATATGAAGCAAAAACTGACAAAATTGAAGAAAGAAACAGTTCAACAATAATAGTTGGGGGGGGCATCAAGACCTCATTTTTAATAATAGGACAACTAGACTAACAATCAAGGAAATCAGTCACTTGAACACTGTAAGCCAATTATTTCTAGCAGAATTATATATAACAGTCCATCCCAAAATAGCAGAATATATATTCTTATACATACTAAGTATCTTCTCTGACAATAAGGGAATGAAATTAGAAATCAATAACAAAAGTAAATCTAGAAAATTTACAATATACTCAAGTAATTCATGAATCAAGGAAAAAAATCAGATAGGAAATTAGAAAGACAAAAAACATGCTGGCAAGGAAGTGGAAAAAGAGAAATTCTTATATACTGTTGGTGGGAATGTAAGTTAATACAGCCACTATGGAAAACAGTATGAAGATTTCTTAAAAAATTAAAAGTAGAACTACTATATTAGGGGAACCTTCCAAAAGCAGAATTTATTTATTTAAAAATATGTATTTATACTTAAATGTTTAAACTTCAGTCACCTTCAAAGTACTCTCCATTTGATGCAATACACCTATCAAGACATCTTTTTCACTGCTCAAAGCAGTTTTTGAAGTTGTCGATTTTTATGCCTTTTCGTACTTCTGCCATTTTTTTGTTTCACCTGTTCTACAGTGGCAAAATGTTTCTCTTTGAGGACTTTTTTTCATCCCGGGAAACAACAAAAATGTCTCTCAGGGTGAGATCAGGTGAACAAGGAAGGTGGGGAATAGGGGTCATTCTGTTTTTGGTCAAAAACTGCTGAACACTCAAGAGTGGTGTGGGCAAGTTGCTCATGTAAATCACCCTTTATGAAATGGGCAAACACTCTGAAAGAATTTCCAAAAAAAATTCCACTGAAGCCGAATGCAGCCTCTCACAGTATTGCTAACTGGTACACTGATGCCAATGCGTTCCTAGAACACTTACCTAAGTGGGGGAAGTCTGAACTACAAGGAGCCTGCCCTCCAAAAAATAATTCTGGTTTTTTTGGGGGTCCCCCTCATGCGATCCAGCAGTCCACTACTGGGTGTTCATCCAAAGAAGTCAGTATATAGGGGGGATACCTGAACACCCATGTTTATTTTAGCATTATTTACAATATCTAAGATACAGAATCTACTCAAGTCTTCATCAATGGACAAATGGATTAAGAAAATGTATTATATACACACAATGGAATATTATTCAGCCATAAAAAAGAATGGAAATATGTCATTTGCAGCAACATGGATGAAACTGGAGGTCGTTATGTTAGTGAAAAAAGCCAGGCAAAGACAGTCAAATATCCTATGTTCACACTTATGTGTGAAAGATTAAAAAAGTTGATCTCATGGAGGCGGTATTGAATGACAGATGCCAAAGGCTGGGAAGGGAGAGGATAAAGAGAAGTTGGTTAATACATGTAAACATACAGTTAGATAAAAGGAGTAAATCCTGATTTCACTAGCAGAGTAGGATGACTATACTTAACAACAATATATTGTATATTTAAAACTAGCTAGAACAGAGACCTTGAAATGTTCCCAACACATAGAAATGATAATCATCACACAGTCTATGCATATAACAAAATATTGCATGTACCTCATAATTATGTACAAATATTTGTATCAATGTAAAAATGCTAAAAATGTGTATCAAGACAAGACTCAGGTTAAGATAAAGTGGCTACTCATTATGCTTCAAGCAAAGTTAGTATTTTTGGACAATAAATTTCTAGTAATGTGAGCATAATGAAGTAATTGGTTTACCTCAAGTTCTAGATAAATGTATGTTTTAATATAACAGTCATTATCTTCCTAAGCCTCAAACTGTTTTGAAAAATAGAGATAATACCATGTTGAGTTTTAGGTATTTATTGAATGTACAAAATCTGGCACAATGCTTGGAACATATTCAAACCTGCTTAATGGCTCCTTTTCAGATGAGGTCGCAGTTACTTGCAACTACCAACTGGTTATTTCTCCATTTTGGTGTGCTTGATAGCATACCTGATAGCAATGAGCATACTTAGGTTGAAACACTGCATAATTTTATGTTTCATTCCAATTTAAGTATTTCTTTGTTTTCAAGCTTAACCTATGCTAGTTTGTTTTTTCTTCTTTAGGGCCGTTGTCATCTGCATCTTTCTAATTTTTTTTTTTGAGTCAGAGTCTCACTTTATCACCCAGGCTGGAGTACAGTGGCACGCTCATGGCCACCCCAGCATTGACCTGCTTGGCTCAGGCAATCCTTCCGCCTCCACCTTCCAAGTAGCTGGAACTACAGGCGCATGCTACCACACCCAGATAATTTTTCTTTCTTTTTTTTTTTGTAGAGACGCGGTCTTGCCAAATTACCCAGGTTGGTCTCGAACCCCTGGGCTCAGGAAATCCTCTTGCCTTGGTCTCCCAAAGTGCTGGGATTACAGGCTTGAGCCACTGCACCTGACCATCTTTCTCATTTTTTATTAAACAGTATTATTATTATCATTATTATTATTGAGTCAGAGTCTTACTCTGCCACCTAGGCTGATCATGACAATCATGGCTCACAGCAACCTTGATCTCCTGGGCTCAGGTGATCCTTCTGCCCTGGCCTCCTGAGTAGCTGGGACTACAGTGCATGCCATTATGACCAGCTAATTTTTTAGGTCTCACTGTGTTGCCCAGGCTGGTCTTGAACTCCTGGGCTCAAGCAGTCTACCTGCCTCAGCCTCCCAAAGTGCTGGGATTACAGCAGTGTTAATTTTTTTTTCACTTGTCAGTGCTTCCCATCACCTGTTATGGCTAGTTTTTTCATGGATCACTGGACTAATTCTTTGAGACTAGGACCCTTTGAATGAGCATTTAACATTGAAATTAGCATTCCTCCCTCCAAAAGAGAAATGGACAGATTAAGTCAATATTATTGGATTACTGTAGTCTTGAATTGGTAACCCACTAATGACTGTCACCTATTAGTGTAGGAAAGCTGGACCCTGGTTAAATTGTGGCAGAGAAGTGTTATACCAGATTTTTCTGGATCTTTGTTACTTAGTATAAACAACATAAATAAAACAAGCATTTGGAGGTCTGGTCAAGTTATTTTACACTGTCTTAAATTATTTCTAAAATTAAATGACTGTTTTTGTACTATTCTTTATTGTATTTATTTTTGTTTTATATACCTCTTGAGACATATAGATAGTCAAGCACCTCAACTACCTTGTTGAAATTTAATAGACTTTCCAAATTGAATTATCATGATTCTTACATGTCTGAAAAATAGGTCATTCTGAACCACATCTCTGCACTCGGAAGTGTTTTGGTGAATCTACTCTATAGCCTGTGAAGAAATACATATTTTTCAACCTTTCGTGATAGCACTTATAGTATCTTTAAAGAAGCAGTTTCAGAAATCAAAGTGTTAATATAGTAATGTTCTTGATTTGTTACTTTAACAGCATGATTTTATACTTGGAGAGGAAAAATACAATCAAGGTTTGGTTATAAAAATTAGCAGCAAAATAATTGTGATAAAACTTTTTTTCTCTTCAGGGCTAAAGAATATGAGAGTGTAATGGAAACCAAAAATTCTGGCTCTGATTCACCTTATAAAGCAAAGTGAGTACTCACCGCCCTCCACCCCCACTGTTTAGTTTTCCTTTCCTTCTGTCCCTGCCTGTAACAACATTGTATCTCAACCATCATGTTATTCCCCTGATTAGGAGCTTTGTTTCTGATCCCTAGAACATTATTCTCTTAACACAGTGCTATCCAGCTGGAACAATTTTGTCAGGGGATATTTGGCCATGTGTGGGCTCAGTTCTCATTAGCACAACTTGAGGAGAAGATGCCACTAGTGTCAAATGGGTAGAATCCAGTGAATCTGTTAAACATTGTTTGGTATAGAAGACATCCCACCACAACAAAGAATTAGCTCATCCAAAGTGTTAATCCTGCTGAGATTGAGAAGCCCTGTTCTAACAGATTAGGTTCTAGCAAGACAAGACTGTACTGGTGCTTACTCTGAAGAGACCTCTTGAAGGATTGTTCCTAGGGCCAATCCTTAAAGTAGGATAGCTGATTACCTTAAAGGATTGTTCCTAGGGCCAATTCTCTAATCTAATTCCGATGAGATTTTAAATGAGTTTAGAGATTTTAGATGAGAAATTAAACTACACAACTGGTGTATAAATATTAAGCAATAGCTAGGTAAACAAAAACATCATCATTTTGCTTCATTTAAAAATAGTGGCATTAGAGTTGCAGTGAGAAAAGTACTCACATATACCAGTGATGGGAGTACAGAGTAGTGGAGTCTTATTAAAAGGCAGTGTTCATTAGCAGTTTAGGAAGTCCACTTCAGACTTAAGGCTGCTCAGTGAAATAATGCAAAATGTGTGTCCAAATATTTTTATACAAAGATGACTCTTTCACTGTTAAAATTAATAGTGAAGAAGTCAAGAAAAACATAAATGCCCCAAACTGAGAAATACATGTAACCAATCATTGATGTAGATATCATACAGAATGTTAACATAGCTATTACTTATATTTATAGTAAAAATATTCTTGCCTGTCATAAATAAACCACCCATCAGATAACTGCTTTTATTTATTATTCTGCTGAAAATATTAACCATTGCAATTAAATATATATATAATACTAAAGTAAGAAAATTATCAAGAAATATATCACAAAGACTAAGAGAATCAAGTGAAACTTAGTAGAAGCAACAAGAGAAATCAATTCAGTAGGATAGCTGATAACCAAAATAGGTGACATTTACTGAATAATTACCTATGTCAGACTCCATGTGTGCTGATTCATTCCTGACAACAATTCCATGAGGTTAATTTGGGAAACTAAGCACTAGAGAGGGCAACTTGCCTGCAGTTATGCAACAGCATATTCAGAATGCAAAAATTAGTAACTTTTCTTCGTGATAACCAGCCAAAAATATATTTATGATAGCAATAAAGAAGTAAAATATTTAAGAATAAGCTCAATAAGAAATGTGAAGGATCTTTTAAAGAAAATATTAAAATCTAACTAGAATTATCAAAGACTTGTATAAGTGGAAAGACAAATCATACTTTTGGATAGAAGGCACAGGATAGTAAGTTCTCTATAAATACTCCTATAAATGTAATTGCTATAAAAGCAACCTTTTATTCATAGAGCTAAACTCATTCTAAATAACATATAGAAAATAAATCTGAGAATTTCTAGAAAAACTTTGAAAGCATTTGAGGGAGTGCTGTGAACACAGATATTTAATAAAATTTTAAAGGTATACTGACTGACATATGTTGGAAGGGATTTTTAAAAGCAGTCTAGAAATACATCTAAATATTTGAGGAAATTTAGAATATGACTGTGGTAGAGTGTTTGCTATGATGGCCAGAAGAAGTTGAGCCATTCCTGGAGAAATGCCCTGCGTGGTATAACTGCTGTTTTTCTCATCAAAGAGTAGTCTCCATTTCCCTTCCTCTTGAAACTGTTCTGGCCCTGTGACTTGTTTTGACCCATAGAAAGCTGTAGAAGTGATATGTGACTTCCTAGCCTTAGCCTCATAAGTCTCATGGCTTCTGTTCTCACTTTTACTTTCTTTCTCCTCTGACTGCCGTGTCAGGAAGTCTGGGTCAGCCCCATTGTGGGTGAGATCACAGGAAGGAACAAGCTCAGTTGTCCTGGTTATCCCTTCTGAACTCCCTAGGCAAGGGAGTAAGGCCATCCAGGACCAGTCAACACTGAGTCAACCTACCAAATGACTACCCTTGCCACATAAGTTACCTTAGGTACCAGAAGAATTACCTAACTGAGCCTAGATCAAACTAAGGGAGCAGATTGATAGTGGTTGTTTTAAAACACTCGGTTTTGAAGTAGTCACAGCAACAGATTATTGACACAATGACAAAGGTAGAATTTCAAGTTATTAGGAATAAGATAAATATGCCAATAAATGTCAGTAAATCTTCTTTTTATTCTTGCTCTGGCAAATAAATTGCCGATTAATCAAAGTTGTAAGGATGAAAACACAAAATGGTAAAAGCATTAAAAGAAAATATAGAAGAAATGTCAAAGTCCTTCCTAAGTAAACTTTATACACAGGAGTCATAGAAGACTGATGAATTAGACTATGTAGTAATAAAAACTTTGTGCTTGAGCAAATATTATAAGCAAAGAAAAAAGGGGGTGGAAATATTTATTACAAAATTTAAAAATGAATGCTTTATATAAGTAAACACCTCATACATTAATGTGAGCAAGATAATTCAGTAAGAAAAAATACTGGATACTATCAGATAATGCAAAGAAAAAGAAATTAAAAGTGCCCAACTGCTGGGCTCGGTGGCTCAGCCTGTAATCCCGCACTTTGGGAGGCTGAGGTGAGTGGATTGCCTGAGCCCGCGGGTTCGAGACCCGCCTGGGCAGCGAAACCTCATCTCTACAATAAATCAAAAAATTAGCTGGGCGTGGTAGCGCACGCCTGTAATTCCGGCTACTCGGAAGGCTGAGGCAGAAGGATCACCGGAGCCCAGCAGGTCGAGGCTGCGGTGGCCGGGAGCGGCCACTGCACTCCAGTCTGGGTGACAGAGTGAGACTCCAACTCAAAAAATTAAAAAATTAAAAAATTAAAAAATAAAAGTGCCCAATTTCCTGTTTTACTTTTGAAATTTAAAATTATTTATTTGGATTTTAAAAAATGATGTTTATAGCTACTTCTTAATGCTGTGAGAAAATGCTTATGCTGATTGGAAAACTGTTATTGTTGATATAGTATGAGATAACCCATTAAAATAATAGAAGACCTGAAGGGTAATAGTGGCTACCTAAATTTAGATCTCTGTGTATATCTTTCTAAAGACTGTATGTACCAACAAGGAAAGCAACTTAACTCATTGGTAGTTCATATTTATATAATACTTTGGAGTCACAGACAGCTACCGACTTCTACTTAATTTTTCTACAGTTTTAAGATTGTGGCATACATAACAACAAATTTACTGTCTTACTCATTATTCATACAGTTCAGTGATAGTAATTCCATTCATGTTGTTGTGCAGCCATTATGATCATTCATCTCTAAAACTTTTTTCATGTTGCAAAACTGAAATATGATACCCATTTGTAACATGGGAACCCCAAGTTTGAGCCAACTTGAGCGTAATGCTTGCCTATTCCAAAGAAGTCACCCAAAAGTCCAGCAGGGAGAGACTGGTTTATTACACTTATGGGAGGGTTACCAACAGCAGCAGTTTGGTGATAAGGACGAGAGAATCTTCACCTCGAAACAGCATGACAGTTTTATATTTAAGCAAGTTAATTTTTAAAATTTCTATGCAGTGTTTGCACTCACATTAAGAGTGATGACTACAAGCCGGGCTCTGTGGCTCAGCCTGTAATCCTGCGCCTTGGGAGGCTGAGGTGAGTGGATTGCCTGAGCCCGTGGGTTCGAGACCCGCCTGAGCAATTTGGTGAGACCTCATCTCTACAACAAATCAAAAAATTAGCTGGGCATGGTAGCACACACCTGTAATTCCAGCTATTTGGAAGGCTGAGGCGGAAGGATAGCCGGAGCCCCAGCAGGTCGAGGCTGCAGTGGCTGGGAGCGGCCACTGCATTCCAGTCTGGGCGACGGAATGAGACTCCAACTCAAAAAAAAAAAAAAAAAGAGAGAATGATGACTACATTGTTTTTAGGTTGGTTGGTTATCTGTATCCCAAGACTTGTTACAGGGATGCTTTGGCCAGATGCTGTTCTTTGGGGGAGGGGCAGAAAGAAGCCAGATTAGGGGAAGAGGCAAAGCCTGGACACTTACCACATACCATTAAGCAATAATTTCCCATTCTTCCCATCCCTGGCTCTTGGCAACCACCATTCTACTTTCTATCATAATGATTTTGACTATCTAGGTAATTCATTTAAGTTTAATCACACAGTATTAATTTTTTTGTGATTGGCTTATTTCACTTAGCATTATGTCCTAGTGTTCATCAGTGTTGTAACATATGCCAGAATTTCCTTCCTGTCTGTGTATACCATATTTTGCTTATTCATTTATCTATCGATGGACATTTGGATTGCTTCCATGTTTTAGCAATTGCAAATAGTGCTGCTGTGAACATGGGCATACAAAGAATCCCTGCTTTTGATTCTTTCTAGTATATACTGAGAAGTGGAATTGCTGGATCATATGGAAAATCTATTTTTAATTTATTGAGGAGCCATCATCCTATTTCCACAGCAACTGTACCATTTAACATTCTTACCAATTATACACAAAAGTTCCAATTTTTCTATGTCCTCATTAACACTTGGTATTTTCTACTTTTCAAAAAATAATAGCCATCTAAATGTGTGTGAGGCAGTATTTCATTTTCGTTGTTTTGATTTGCATTTTCTTTTTTTTTTTGAGTTGGAGTCTCTCTGTTGCCCAGACTGGAGTGCAGTGGCCACTCCCAGCCACCGCAGCCTCGACCTGCTGGGCTCCAGCGATCCTTCCGCCTCAGCCTTCCAAGTAGCCAGAATTACAGGCATGTGCTACCACGCCCGGCTGATTTTTTGATTTATTGTAGAGATGAGGTCTCGCTGCCCAGGCGGGTCTCAAACCCGC